ATCATTTTCTTTTCCCAACATCCTAAACTACTTGATACATTTTTGTTAAGAATAACAATTTTCTGGGGCGCCTAGATGTCTCAGTTGGTTAAGCGTCTGCCTTCGGCTCAGGTCATGATCCCAGGGTCCTGGGATGGAGCCCCGCATCGGGCTCCCTGCTTGGCTGGGAGCCTGCTTCTCCCTCTCCCCCACCCCCCACCCCCTTGTGATCTGTGTCAAGTAAATAAATAAAATCTTTAAAAATAAAGAATTGCAATTCTCAAGCAAGAGCTACTATGAGACTTAATGGGGCATGGAGCTCCTCTATGCCTACTGAAAATGTCTGAAGTCTTCAAATTCATTTATTTCTACATTTTCTCTTCCAGTATATAAAGCTCAATTATTCTCTGACAACATATCCAACATTAGCAAACTATTTTAGTTTTCAGAATCAATAGCATCTGAAGGTTTGAAAAATTTGCCAATTAAAGACCCTCATCAACAAGCAAACTTTTGTAAATGTTTCTGATGACTTGTCCACAAACTACCATCAAGTCAGTGAAGTTCAATATGTGAAAATTAAACCTAAGGTGTGCAAAACACATGGTTCAAGAAGTGGATATATATTTATTCTAATTACATGACTTGACAATGTGCACTGTCATCCAAACATTAATTGCATTTATCAATTGCTATTTGCTCACTAGTTTCACTAGTATGAAGATGTCAATTTACATACATAAAATGTTTTATATACTTTGATCCTGCCATATGTAAACATTTTTAAGGATGTCTGTGAGCCAAAATTGTATTCCAGTTGTGTATTCCTAGAATGTTACCAACATAACATCTCAAACCATTCTCATGTTGGCTCATTGAAGCTGAGGGTCTATTACATGCAAAAATCAGTTATTATTTTTATAGACACGTCATACTTGGTTATGATTTTATGCATTGCACTGGTTGCTCTTTGTACAGAAAACAAACTGGGAAATTAAGAAATCAAATGTAGTTTTCTTAAAAAAAAAAAAATAGCCAGTAGGAACTAAACTGCCAGAAATTATTTTACACTAATGACTAGAGTCAGAGTCACCAGGTACAGAAATTATTTTAATAATGGTTGAAGAAAAAATGACTTGGATGCCATATTGTTAGAACTAAAACAATTTGATAATTTCATTAAAAAACTGCTTCTGTATACTGTAGTATTGAACAATGGCTTCATCCTACCAAGTATAAAAGGTAACCACTTTTAATGTGAGTCTCCTTGTAAAACACTAAGCCATAAAATTTTATTTCAGGGACAAAAATACAACACTTAAAACATTACCTTGATTTGCCTCTCTCTAATTACATTTTATCATCTTATTCTGGATGGGTCCGTATGATTTCAAGAGGATTTTACTCAAGGTCTTGGAAGCAAAAAATTTAGGAAATTGTAAAAAACAAGATGCACAGCACATGTATGTAAATCAGAAAGCAACAAACAATGGAAGGTGGCTAACCCTTAAACAACTATTTTGAATTTCTGAACCTTGTTATTTTGTCACATTGATATTTGTATTAAAAATAAGGAATGCTGGGTTTCCTAATACACAATAATTCACAAAATTGACCTCTTTTGGTCCAGAACTACTTAAAAGTATTCTACTTGAAAGTATTCTAAAGGCCAAAACATGAAAAATCTAGAAGCCATTATTAAACTTTAGAGATACTATGTATGGAAACTTACAACACGGCTTTCAAGTATGAATTTAAGAGTCAAAACATTCTTCACAGTAAGATTTGGTATTTAAAGGGGACAAAGGTAATAAAATTAGCTATCAAAGTGATAGGATAGCAGTGAAACTATTTTTAAGAATCCATGAAATAAAAGACCTAAAGAATAATCTAAAAAAACCCCACAAAATATGCTTGAGAAAAATAGGATTATTTAAGAGCTTAGAACCGGATAACAGGATAAATAAGATTAACCAGAAATAATAAGATCACTTCTATCTACAAGTTTATACACTATAAAAGTAAAATGTACTGAATTTTACTTATCTCTGTACAGGGTGGGTCATTTTTAGGTATCATTTTACTTCCTTAATAAATCACCCTGTGACTCAGAACATGACAGTAATAGATTCCAAAGCAAAGATTATACTGTTCATTTTTATTATGGTTATGGATTTTGACCTGCTTGACAGAGTCAAATATTCATGATTCTAGTTTTTTTCTTTGATTTGAATGTTCCAAGTCATTTAATAACATATTTTAACAGATGTGCTTTTTCTTTTAGTACCTACTCTAATAATATGCTAGAGGTATCCTTAGGGATCTGCAAGATGAGAGAATCGTTACCACCTAATAGGTACTTGACCACTGTCATAGACATTTTTCTTCTTTTAAGCAATGTCAGTTTAATATTCTAAGAATTCCAGGTGCCCTTTTTTGTGTGAAACAAGTACCCCTGAATTTAGCAAGAAAAAAATTTAGACATCTGTTTTATAAACCCAAAGCTGTTTTCTTAGGAAACACAGGAATATATGGGAGAACATTAATTTTAGTACATTTTTAAATTAGATGTGGAAGCAAAACAGATGAAGTTTTTTGTTTGTTTTGGTCTTTTTGATCTGCATTAATTTTTGTTATTTTATCAAAAGAAAAAATTATATGCTTCCTGGGAACTTTTAAAATGATAAGACCTTGGATTAAATAAGACCTTGACAAAAACAAAAGGTAATTATACACCTGCTTTTTCTTTTTTGCTCAGAAAAGTCTGTTTTCTGAAATTGACTGCTTTAAAAAGCTTAGTTTGCTAAATGGAATGGTAGTTACAAACCACTGTAGAGTAAGAGGATAATAAAATATTAGAACCACACTCGCTAAGCATCCCTACCTACCTATGTCATTTGAAAAGTTATCAAGTGGCTCCTTTAAGCAGTGCCATCAGATTTTAAATACTGATAAAATTAAGTTATGCCTATCATTAATTTTGTAGGATCAAATATCACAAAGCCAAATTCCACTTAAAACTTCCAAAGTTTAACCACAAAATAACATTTGCCTTAGAATTGAGGTTTTTGGTTGTAAAATTCTAAAAGGTGAGAAGGATGAAGTTGTATTTTTCTTGTCATTGAAGAATCACTTCTATGGTATGTAAGACCAATGGCAGGGTTTCAGTTGTTGTGAACTACCAAATATCAGCTATTAAAAAAAATTCCTAATGGGAAGGTTTATAGGTTTATTATTACAACTCAAATTTATGAAAATGGAGGAATGGTTCTATCTATTTTGGGTCAAACTAAAGTCAGCTAATTGGTTTACTATATTTGCCTCTTATCAAATATTGATAATTTCTCACAACAGTTCAAGATGTGCTAATTTGGATAAAATGCTTTAACACTTATTATATTGAATACTGAGCCCCAAAATTCACTTTAATATAGACTTCTATCTAGGAAATAATCATAAATATACTAAAAATTGGCCAAGAAACTCTAAGAAATCTTTATTTCTTCTTAATAAAAGTCTAATTAATTATATTTAAACAGAGATGATCTGTTTATTCCAAAAGCCCAATTCTTTGGTGTGCTGTTTCTAGTTATTAACTTAAGAATTCTGTATACTGCTAAGGAATTGAAACTTCTCAAACTTTCTTATATTATTTAAGCAATCTTTGTTTTTAAAATCACAGCATTATTGGCTATCAGGAGTTGGATTCTGAAATCAAGTAATTTATACTTTTCCCAAAGTGTACTAATCTAGATTAATCATCCTAGATATTTTCTACATACTTAGTTCATATTTGATTATAGGAAAACATTCTCATTTTCTAGGTCTTTTAAAATAACTTCTAAAATAGTGGCCTTTTTGAAAAAATTTTTGTCTAGTACTGCATATATTTCAGTGCAGATTAAAATTAAACTGAACCATGCCTTCCACCCAAAACTGTATTAAGAAGAACATATTTTCCTTTATTAACATATTCAATAAATAACCACATCATAAGGTTAAAGGGCTTTTAAAAATATCATTTAAGTTGAATGAGTAGGAAAAGTATACATATTATCTTTGGATGTATTTAACTTATTAAGTCAGGTGTTATATAACTGCAAGAAATGGAATGTTATATATCTGACTAAAACAGAGCTACATAAACTGAAGAGAAGAACAGGAAATGTCAGGTATAATTAGACAATTCAGATGCAGAAAGGGCTATTTCCTCATCTGTTTGCAAGAAGTTATGGAGCTACATAGCCCTTAACGAAGTTGGTGGAGATTTTCTTGTTAACTCAAGAAAAAGCTATAAACTCCCTAATGTGTACTGTTGAAATATTCCTAACTTTGATGCGCTTCCTGAAATGAACCTATATATTCAACCTATAAAGGAAAAGTAACTGATGCTTTAAAGAAAAAAAAAAGTACTTCATTACTAATGGATATAATTAGTTCACTTTTAGAGTATTAAGACAAGGATAAGTTTAAAGACTAGAAGACATTAAAAATATATTGGGTCTGTATGATTTTTTTAATGCAAAAAAGGGACATCTCCCTCAAAAAGGATGAATAAAAATCCCTGCAAAATGCACTGCTCCATACTCTCCCCTTCAGTGCAGACTACATTGTAGAAACAAAATCTCTCTTAAGAGAACTATTTGTGAGAAATAATGACTATCCCTAAAGATATTCAACTCTCAATTTTTACTACTTAAGAAAAGTCAGTATTAATTGTTCTTAATATAAAGGTTTAGCTTTGGGGAAAAGTGAGCCTTTCAAAATTTTAACTTAGGTTAATCTAGTTGATTGGCATGAAACACAAATGCCCATGGCATTGTCTATGCTTCTAGTAGGTTTGGAAAGTCATTTCAGTCTGCTCCCATACTTAGTTTCAAGCCTCTGGAAGGAAATGAACAATGTGAACAAGTCTGGTGATGAAGCACAGATTAAGTCCTTCAAATATCTTAATTTCACAGTCCTTTGTCCCATGTAATAGATGTAAGAAGCACCAAAATTGGAGCCAAGATCTGAACAGGTAATGTAACAGCAGGAACTATAATTTAATCACATCATATCATATTACACTTATGTAACATTCTATATTTTGCCTGTTGATATGTAACATAGTTAAGTTTATTACAAGCATTATTTCCTAAGACTTACGGTAGAAGTACTTCTTTTCAAGTATTACCGCTTATTTAATAGTGTTTATCTATTTCTTAACATTAAGTAAATCAGTGATAAATGTATATTATGCAATACACATTGTGCCATTTCTCCCTACCCTGTGTTATTAACAAAATCAATTAAGAAAACCAAAACAACTATTAAAACTGAAACAAGGCTATCAACATCACAGATGCATGTCTGAGTAGGTCAACAGCATTTCCCCCTTAACATGAAGGTATTTTCATCAAAAATGCTTCTTATCTTTAGGCTAGTATTTACTTTAGCAGCAGCTGGTCTTCAGGACAAGTAGATCAGAAGTTTCAAGTGAAAATGACACTGAATTACTCTGAGAAAACATCAATCCACATTACTAATAAAAGATGCAAACTGCTGGTGTCACCGTAACATAAAAATTGTGTTTTCCCTTTCAACATGTGATTTATTTCATTTATGTGATGACAATACTTTGGAGTTCTCATGGCACACCAATGAGATTATCTGTTTTCATATTTAAATTCTAACTACAATAACTAGAAAAAAAGTCAGTGCCTCGGTGGCTTTAAACCACATCAATTGCAATGTTTTTCAAAATGATGATGCAATTAAATCTATGCTTCTGCAACAATAGTGCAATACAGTATCCTCTCCTGAATACAGGAGCTGAGGTTTATCCAAGTAGAAGCTTTAAATAAGGTAGATTGTTGCCAAATACGCATCAGTCTCCATGTTTGATATAACATGTATTAGGAAAGCTAAAACTGACTTGTAATCTATACTCAGCTAAAGCTTCACATAAGCAGCAATGGAAATGAACAGAGGTGCACTCAATATAAAACACTTTTCAAAACTACTCCAAAAAACAAATGACAAAAAGTGGTTAAGAACAACTGAACATATGTTGTGGGTACCACATGTAAAAGGAAGAATGGACCTTGTGGTTGCTTGCACTGTTTGAATTATGTGAAGATAAATTTAAGACTTAGTCCACTTCCATCTCTCCAGAAGATTTAGTATGCTGGGAGCTGTCTTTTGTTGTATCTGGTTTAGTTTCAGTCCCACTCTGTCCATCCATTGGTCCATTGTGTTCACTATTAGCTTTTGCTTTGTCTTCAGCAACCTCTACTTTCGGTTTGGGCTTGTAAATGATGGGGTTACAGAAATTATCCAGTTCCTAAAGGCATGAAGAAAAGTGATTATTTTAAAAATACTACAGAAAAAGTTACCACTAACTTTCTAATTTCCACATTAATAGGACATTCCTGAATTTATGTTAGTTCAGTTAGAAAACCAAGTTTCTTCAAATACTTCAATGAAGCATTTACTTCGGCGTTAGTGCATGTTAGTGTTGACAAGGAACTCTTCAATCTTTAATAAAATTCTTTGTATCTAACCTTCCTAAAAACTGGTTCCTCATAATCTAATTTTCTTGGCAGAAATTTTTTTTATTTTTTTATTTTTAAGATTTTATTTATTTGAGAGAGAGAGAATGAGAGATAGAGAGCATGAGAGGGAAGAGGGTCAGAGGGAGAAGCAGACTCCCTGCCGAGCAGGGAGCCCGATGTGGAACTCGATCCCGGGACTCCAGGATCATGACCTGATCCGAAGGCAGTCGCTTAACCAACTGAGCCACCCAGGCGCCTGGCAGAAATAATTTTTAATTCATTTCTTTAAATTATGCCTAATGCTCTGAGAATTATGTCAAATAACGCCTATTTCATAAATTGGTATTTACATGAAAACAGCTTTAATAAGTGGAATTGTAGAACTATGCTGAAGGAAAAGTAAGTCATGAATGTAAATGCAACTTAATAACTTTAAGTACAATATATTTTCTCTATCTTTGCTTTTTTTTTTTTTAAAACGTTTTATTTATTTATTCATGAGAGTCAGAGAGAGAGAGAGAGAGAGAGAGAGAGAGAGAGAGAGGCAGAGACAGAGGGAGAAGCAGGCTCCCCACCTAGCAGGGAGCCCGATGCGGGGCTCAATCCCAGGACCCTGGGATCATGACCTGAGCCGAAGGCAGACTGAGCCATCCAGGCGCCCTGATGCTGATCTTTATTATAAAATTTGTCTCCATGTTTTTCATGGTGTTTTTTTCTATGATAATCTTTGACATTTTCATGGGTAATGTTTTTTAGACTGGGAAATTGAAGTAAGATTTTTACCACAGAATTTTACAGGTTTCAAATGATGTCAAAGACCAACACTGCCAAGTTTTACAATGGAGATTTTGAAGTCTTATCTAATCCTGAAAAGTCCAAAGTATTTAACAGTAAGTTGTCACATTGCTTTATTTCTTTCCGCACTACACTTAAAATGTAAAAAAAAAAACAAAAAAAAAAAAAAAAAACCAGCCTTGTGTATGTGACTAAATCAAGATACAGGGATGTCCCACCTAGAATCTTTTTTTTTGCAAAATTACAAGTGAGCCTTAAATTTGTTTCTCTAAGTTCTTTTGCAAGTTGATTATTTCTCAAAGTATGGCTCCCATTAAAAATGTTTAATGCTTGGGTGCCCTGGGTGGTTCAGTCGTTAAGCGTCTGCCTTTGGCTCAGGTCATGATCCCAGGGTCCTGGGATCAAGTCCCACATTGGGCTCCCTGCTCGGCGGGGAGCCTGCTTCTCCCTCTCCCACTGCCCCTGCTTGTGTTCCTGCTCTATCTCTCTCTCTATCAAATGAAGAAATTTTTTTTTTTAAAAGATTTTATTTATTTAATTGACACAGAGAGAGAGCAAGCGAGAGAGGGAACACCAGCAAGGGGAGTGGCAGAGGGAGAAGCAGGCTTCCCGCCGAGCAGGGAGCCCGATGCGGGACTTGATCCCAGGACCCTGGGATCATGACCTGAGCTGAAGGCAGAGGCTTAACGACTGAACCACCCAGGCGCCCCAAATAGAGTCTTAAAAAAAAACGTTTAATGCTTGAACCCATTAAAAAGAGAATTTAATAGTTACTTACCTTTGACTTTGCAACTATTTCTGAAACTTTCACCACAGGATCTTGAGTGAGACTTAGTTTGTTCTGTGCATTCATCTTACTGTTCAGCCAACTCATGGCTTCACTGATATATTTTTCAACTTTTTCCACATCAGCAGGATCCAAATGATCGTATCTTTCATCCTATTGAAAAAATTTTAATGTAAAATTGTCAGTAATGCATCAATTAATAATTTCTGTTTAAAAGACTTAGATTCTTATTGAATGTATACCTCACACATATCCATCTGAAGAAGCCACATACAAATTATATAGAATTGAAGAAACTGGGAGAAAGAAAAAAAATCACTGTGCTTTTTTAAAAGGAAAGGCTCTCTGAAGAAGTCAGCTTGGCCACAAAATGCCTAGTGGGGAATATTCAGGGGAACAGTACTTAGCCGAGAGTGCAGCTGCCGGGAATTAGTTCGTCAGGGAATAAAGAGAAGTAAGAGGAGAAGGCGTGCTGCCAGCTGGACAGAAAGTTCTCCATCTACAGAACAGCGCGGTAAGTTGCTGAGGGGATTACGTCACATGCTGTCTGAAAAATACAACTGCAGGCACCACACATAGGAAACAATCTAAGAAATCATGGTTTAGGATGGTAGTCACAAGACCAGAAAGAAATGGCAATGCAACATCAAGAGGATTTCCTAATGGATTATAGATTGGACGTAGAAAATAAAAGGAAATGGAATGAAAGAGTAGAACTGGGAGAATGGTGATGCTGTGTTTTAAAACCATACACACCTAGGGAATTTGAAGAGATTAAAGCCACATACCTGCCCTGTATTTTAAGTGTGTAAGTACCCTTTACCAATAATTTTCCGACAAAAAAAAAATTTTTTTTTTTTTTTTTTTGAGAGAGAGTGTATGCATCGGGTGGGGTTGGGGACAGAGGGAAAGGGAAAGAGAGAATCCCAAGCTGTCTCCCTGTTCAGCGTGAAGCCCAACACAGGGCTCGATCCTACGACCCTGAGATCATGACCTGAGCCAAAATCAAGAGTTGGATGCTCAAATGACCGAGCCACCCAGGCGCCCCTCCAATAAAAAAAAAAAAGTTTTAAGTTTGGTGCACAAGGTCTCCGGAATTTGGTGGCAACAACTGCTATCGTTTTGTAGCTGAGAACTTACAGATTTACCCCACCGCCACCAGGTACTACCCCCACATGGCATCATCATCTGCTGGCTTTGTGGCTTTCATACCTTGTTTCTGTATGCTTCTATCACTTTCATAACAAGTTGAATCTTTTTTCCCAAGTCGTTTAAAGCTTTTGGTCTCTCTTCATGTTCCATGTACCTCATTTGAATAGGCTGGCCATATTTCTATTAAGAAATTTTTTTAAAAGAAAAAAGTTATTAACAGAAAACAATTTTTAACAGAAGACAACTTTTATGGGCCTTTACATGTGATGAATAGGAAAGAAAGCTGGCCAGATCAAAATATGCCTCCTCTGTTTCCCTACGTGAGGATAAATTCCGGTGTCTACGTCTTTACGCAATCCTACACAGACATGCCTGACTAATGCTTGAGGTCTTTCTCTCATTTATTAAGATTACCTCTTGATTCCTCTCAAATCCAAAGGCAACACTTTTAATTCCTTCAAAGTTAGGTGTTAAAAGTTTACAGAACTATTAAATGAGAAGACCGTAAGGACAATACTCCATGCAGAATTCAGGTATTTGAAACTTGGTTTCAAATATTTCTGTGTATAACTCTGTAAACAACATGATTACTGGAATTTCTGGATATTATCTATTGAGTATTATTTGTGTTTATTAATTTGATGGAAATTCTGGATCTATGAGTATAGCACTTAAAAAAAAAAAAAACAACACCAAAAAAAACCAAACCTTTGGCCCCTTACCCTAAGTGCCTGGAATGGGGACTTTCTAAATGTTAAAATAGCCACTCTAACCTTGAGGAGGGGGATGCATTAGAAGAATGAATACCCATTTTTTTATATTCTTTATACACTTAAAAATAATCAACGTATTTTAGAATAATTTTAGATTTTCAGAGAAATTATAAAGGAAATAACAGAGCATCAAGTACCTCTCATTGCTGTCCTCTAATGTTAACATCTTATACCACCACAGAACATACAACTTGTTAAAACTAAGAAACCAACACTAGTGCATTACTATTAACTGAACTCCAGACCTCATGTGGATTTCATAATTTTCTGTTCCAGGATACCATATTGCATCTATTTACATCACATTTTTTATTCAAAAAAAAATTTTTTTTAAGATTTTATTTATTTGCAGGGCACCTGGATGGCTCAGTCGTTAAGCGTCTGCCTTCGGCTCAGGTCATGGTCCCAGGGTCCTGGGATCCAGCCCCTCATCAGGCTCCCTGCTCAGCGGGAGGCCTGCTTCTCCCTCTCCCACTCCCCCTGCTTGTATTCCCTCTCTCGCTGTGTCTCTATCAAATAAATAAGTAAAATATTAAATAAAAAGATTTTATTTATTTGAGAGAGAGAGAGGACATGCACGTGTGAGAGAGAGTGCATGAGCAGGGGAAGAACAGAGAGAGAGTGAGCACATGGGGGAGGGAGGGGAGGAGCAGAGGGAGAAGCAGACACCACACTGAGCAGGGAGCCTCTGGGATCATGACCTGAGCCAGACAGATGCTTAAACAAGTGAGCCACCCAGGTGCCCCTTATTGTAAATGTTTTTGAAAAGAGGACCAAGTACTGTATTTTCAACAGCCAACTCAAAAAAAAAAAATAAAGAAAGAATACTAAGGCCTGTGAAAACTTCTATAATGTTCATTTCTATGGTTACTTATATATTTGGGGTAAAATAATTCTTTCTGAGAGCTGCTTGGCCTTTCAGTTATTTCTACTAGCCTCAGATGCCTGGCTGCTCCTACTACCCAAGATATATACATTCTCTTAGGAAGATGGGGAGTAACACCACCATCAAGATAAAAATGTGATAAAGCCTAGTTTTGCTACCTTAAGCTTAGGTTTTCTAGTTGCTTTCTAATTATTCCATCTGGAAGTAATTTACTGGCATGAAGACAATTCCAACTTTTTCAAGATATTAACTTTTGCTTTTAAGTAACTTCTCTTACACCCCCCACCTCCCCAGTCCTAAAGGGCTGCCTTTTCCCATAGTCTAGGAATTGTTATCAATGTCATCATCTATGTTTTTCCCTTGCTACTCAGAGTGGCTCAGTGACCAGCACCATCATAATTTCTTAGAAGTTTGTTAAAAAACAGAGAATCGTGGGCCCACCACCTCAGATATATACTGAATCACAGTCTGCATTTAGTAAGAGCCCCTGGTAATTATGTGAACATTAAAGTATTGCTATGATCCACACTAGGAAGAAAAGACAAATTTCCTACCATCCTTGTAATCTGAACTTAAAACTTTTTTTTCCCAGGGTAGGGGAGACAAGCAGAAAGGAGTAATAGTGGTCTTTTCTTAAAATCATACCATTGGACCTAGAAAAGGGAGACCTGGGGGCCACATCTCCTTATTTCTTTGTGGAATGACATTCAAGACAGGAGCACTATTTTCGAATTTCTTCACTGGCCAGGTGTCCACATCAGTCGCAATGTGAAAATACAAAAGGGCAGTATATTACTCCTCTAAATCATGGCAGTGAAGGGGGAGAGAAGCAGAGAAAGGGTGTATCCTCCAATGGCTAAGAAGGGAGCAGGTTCACAAATCCCTTCTTAATGATATCTCAGAAATAGATGGCTAATATAAAAGTGGTAACACTGCAATCATCTGCTACATATTTCTACCTGAAAATCCTAACAAATATAATTATACATTACTTGATTTCAATTATCATATTGCATTACTGCCCTCTAAAAATGCTTTTAAGATTAGACATTTCTTCCTACATGTACCTTTAGTATTTTCTAATATATTTATTAAAAATAGACTTTTACAGCATGATTTTTAGGAAGACTTAATGTTCTATTCAAAACTAACATGGACTTTAAAAAATTTACCTTTAGTTCTTGAAGCTTATCCACATAAATTTGTTTAGGTTGGTCTTCTCCTTCTTCATAAAGCCAATTTTCTGTGTCTTCCAATATTGCAGACAGTTTATTCAAGTCCTATACATTTAAAAGACAGTGACTGAAAATGCATGCCTTAGAAATAAAAGTTATCAAAGAAGGACAGAATGTTTTTCAAGTATCAAAGATTAAATTGCAGATTTCTCGGGCTTTTTATTCATAAACGTGTTTTTCACTATACTTTTGCAATTGGGAGAAATAACCAAGAACCATTCCTAAACATGGCTCAAGGAGATTGACGACAGTAACACATTTGGTATGTTTATTTACAAAATTCGTATTAACATTGTCAAACAAATCATTTTTTTTAAAGATTTATTTTAGGGAGAAAGTGTGAAAGAGCAAGAGCGCATGCGAGTGCAAGTGGAGGAAGGGTTGGGGGGGAGAGAGCGAGCAGACTCCACACTGAGCGTGGAGCCCAACATGAGGCTCAATCTCACGACCCTGAGGATCATGACCTGAGCTGAAATCAAGAGTCAGATGCTTAATCAACTGAGCCACCCACCCAGGTGCCCCTCAAACAAATAGTTCTAATAAAAAATTTTAAAATATAGACTTACTTCTTGAGTGATGAATTTTTCATAGACCGTGCCCAGCTTGTCTCTAAAATCATATACATATTCTTCAACGGCATTCTTAGCATCATTTCTTTCTTTCTCTAATTTATCTTGCATTATCATCTTCCCCTATTCAAAATGTTTAGATTAGCTATTAAGAATATGCAGGAGAGTCATCAGGGAAAAGCATATCAAAACCACAATGATCTATCACCTAATACCTGTCAGAATGGCTAGAATCAAAAAGACAAGAAATAACAAGTGTCGCTGAAGGTATGGAGAAAAAGGAACCCTCATGCAGTGTTGGTGGGAACGTAAACTGGTGCAGCAACTGTGGAAAACAGTATGGAGTCCTCAAAAAATTAAAAACAGAAGTACCATATGATCCAATAATTCCACTATTGGGTATTTACACAAAGAAAACAAAAATAATTAGATGTATGCACCCCTCTGTTTATTGCAGCATTATTTACAATACCAAGATACAGAAGCAGCCCATGTCCATTGACAGATGAATGGATAAAGAAGGTGTGGGCTCTGTGTGTGTGTAAGTGTGTGTAATAGAGTACTACTTAGCCATTAAAAAAGGACGAAATCTTGCTATTTGCAACATAAATGGACCTATGCTAAGTGAAACAAGTCAAACAAAAACAAAGACCATATTATTTCACTTATATGTGGAATCTAAAAAACAAAACAAATGAATAACAAAGTAGAAACAGCCCCATAAATAGAACTGATGGTTGCCAGAGGGGAGATGGGGGGGGATGGGCAAAATGGGGTGAGTACGTCATGGGGCTAAAAGGTACAACATAGGGAATATAGTCAATAGTATATGGAATGAGTTATGGAATGAGTACATCATGGGGCTAAAAGGTACAACACAGGGAATATAGTCAATAGTATAATAATAGTGTATAGTAAAAGATGATGTACAGACTGGTTTATCACTATGCTATATACCTGAAACTAAAGTAACACTGTGTATCAACTAGACTTCAATTAAAAGAAAAAAAAAAAGTGTGTATCAGGGAAATGCAAATCAAAACCCTTTCATACCTACTAGAATGACTATAATCAAAGAAATGGATTATAAGAAATGGACAGTGTTGGTGAGGATGTGGAGAATTTTTAACCCTTGCATATTGCTACTGGGAATGTAAAATGCTGCAGCTGTTATGTAAAACAGTTTGTTGGTTCCTCAAAAGGCTAAACAAAGAATTACAATATGACAGCAATTTCACTCCTAAGTATAGAACCAAAGGAATGAAAACAGGAACTCAAAACAGGTATTTGTATGCCCACTACAGCATTATTCACAATAGCCAAAAGGTGGAAACAACTCAGCTGTCCATTAACAGATGAACGGATAAATAAAATGTACATATATCTCCAATGAAATATTATTCTATTATAAAAAGGTATAAAGTTCTGATACATGTTACAACACAGATGAACTCTGAAAACATGCTAAGTGTATTAAACCAGACACAAAAGGACAAATATTGTATCATTATATTCATATGATTTTTTTAAAAAAATATTTTATTTATTTATGTCAGAGAGAGAGAGCATAAGCAGGGGTAGTGGCAGGCAGAGCTGGCACAGGAGGCAGAAGGAGAAGCAGGCTCCCCACTGAGCAGGGAGCCCGATGCGGGACTCAATCCCAGGACACTGGGATCATGACCTGAGCCAAAGGCTGATGCTTAACCGACTGAGCCACCCAGGTGTCTCTATATTCAGATGATTTATCTAGAATAGACAAATCCAGAGACAGAAAGTGGCTAGAGTTTATTGGGGGTTAGGGGAAGAAAGGAACAGTGAGTTAATAATGATTACAGACTTTCTGGGGTTATGAAAAAGTTTTGGAAATAGGCAGTGGTGACAATTCACAAAATTGTGAATGTAACAATGCCATTGAATAGTTGTAATTTAGTCAAAATGACAAATTTTATGTTATATACATTTTACGATAGTTTAAAAGATTAGTAATGTATAATATTCCAAAAGCTACCAAATTGTACACTTTAAATGGGTGTATACAGTTCATAACAAGAACTGTATGGTATGTGAATTATATCTCAATACAGCTATTTAGAAAACCCCACAAAGACTATGTCATTGTACATACTCGGGTTCAATTCCTTGGCTCCCCATTTACTAGCTTTGAGATCACAGGAAGGTCACTGAACCTCTCTAAGCCTCAGTTTTCTTATCCTAAAACAGAGAGACTACAACTATCTATCTGTTAGGGCTGTTAGTAAGACTGACATGATTCACACAAAATTTTAGTATAGTGCCTAGCACATAACTCAAATGTTAGCTCTGGAAGGGATATAGTATAGTGGTTGTGATCTTGAGCTTTGGAGACCGATTACCCAGATCCAATTCAAAGGTAACTCTCTGGCCTTGTATGATTTAGTCTACCTGTTCCTGTTTCTTCATCTGTAAAACGTAAATCTCTAACAGTACTTATACTTCACAGGTTTGTTTTGAGGATTAAATAAGATATCAATGTGTTTTAAGAGGTTAGCAAATATGATTATTGTTATAATTAAAGCAAAGAAAGAATCTGAGGATTGTAATACCTGAACCAAATTTTCACTTTAATAGAAATATAGTATTTTATTTTATTTATTTTTTAAAGATTTTATTTATTTATTCACGAGAGAGAGAGAGGCAGAGAGAGAAGCAGGCTCCCAAGGAGCAGGGAGCCCAATGCGGCACTCGATCCCAGGACTCCGGGATGATGACCTGAGCCTAAGGCAGACGCTTAACCATATGAGCCACCCAGGCGCCCCAGAAATATAGTATTTTAAACAGAAGACTACAGTGCACTGACATGTGGAATTTAAAATAGTGAGAAATTTAAAACTTTAAGAAAAATTGTATACACAAAATTTGCCACAGCAGCACTTGCCTACAATTTATTCCTTTGCAAAATTAATCTGTCTCAAAACAAATTCTGAATTACTCATGGTCTCCAGGAATGCTTGCTTCACCTAAAATGCAGCCTTTAATAGTTAGTGAATAGACAATATAGGTAGGAACTAAAAAGAGCAAGCATTATAAAGTCAAAATTATTCCAAAAATAATGTGCACCCATGGCAGTATGGGGCGCTTCAAAGAAAACTGACCTCTAACACTAGCCAAGTCTGTAGAAATTACCACTAAATAAAAGTTTTACAAATAAAATTACTTCTTACACAACTGCTAGTCAAGAAACAAAACTCTTTTCCTCAAGAGACTGTAAAATTAGACACATAGACATGTAAAGAAAATTTCATAAATGACAACAGATCTTAAGAAGTAGTAAAGGGAAGTCAGAAAACATTTTGAAAAGAGCCTTATCTTTAAGAACAACACATTAGAAAAGCGGAGCTGCTAATACTTCCCCATATGATGTCTGCTGTGTGTTAATGTTAAAGACAGAGTAGTGGAATAAGAATCCTTAGTATTAGAGTGGTCTTTCTTTATAGTAGAGACAATGCATGTTTTTTACATAACTCTGATGAAAGCTACACTGTACACGACATTAATATAGCTCAGTATTTTGTCTAAAAGTAGTTCAATAATTTACTAATTCCTAAGATTTACTAATTTTTTAAAAACCCAATTATTTCTGATATTTCCATCCTGCACCCCCCTAGCCAACTTCGAACTGTACAATTAACTCTATTTCATATAAAACTAAGTCCAAACTTAGGAGTTATGGACTAGGTCCCCAAATCGGGGGGGAGGTAATAATCACTGACTTCTACAAAAATTTCAGAATATACTACCACTTATTTCAACACCAACTCAGATTTATATACCTCATTTTCAATGTAGCTGTTGAGAAGATCTTGGCCCAATTGTCTACACAGGCTACTCTGAATAGGCAGATCAATACTCTTGACTTTTCCTTTTTTAATAGTCTGGTTTAATCGATCTTGTTTGTCTGAGGGAGCTGACTGCAAAGAGAAATGCAAGAGAAGTATAAATTTCTTAAACCAGCTTAAAAATAGATTTAAAAGTGATTTCAGATGAAACAAAAAAGTTATATAAAAACTTTTACCATCTACTATACTTAATACTACTTTAGTATGGAAAATATTTTATACTCTGTATACATTAAATCTTTCTACATAAAAAATACCAGGATGGAAATGCAAATTAAAGCCACAATGAGATGCCACTTCACACCCACTAGGGACATCTATAATGAAAAAAAGGAAAATAACCAGAATTGGTAAGGATGTGGAGAAATTGGAACCCTCATACTTTGCTAACAAGATTATAAAATATTGAAACCATTCTGGAAAAACAGTTGGGCAGTTCCTGGGTGATGAAAACGCTGTAAAAATGATTGTAGTAATAGTTGCAAAACTCTGTGAGTGTATTAAAAACAACTGAATTGTACAGTTAAATGGGTGGACTATACGGTATGTAAACTATACGGTATGTAATCTCAAACTTTGAACAATTAAAGCAAAAAATATCAAGTAAAATTAAAAAATCTAGAAAAATAGGTTTCAGGTTTTTTTTTAAATTTATTTATTTGACAGAGAGAGACACAGCAAGAGAGGGAACACAAGCAGGGGGAGTGGGAGAGGGAGAAGCAGGCCTCCTGCAGAGCAGGGAGCCTGACGCGGGGCTCGATCCCAGGACCCTGGGATCATGACCTGAACTGAAGGCAGACGCTTAACGAATGAGCCATCCAGGCGCCCCAAAAGGTTTCAGTTTTTAAACTACTGGAGAGCCTAGGATTTCAAACAGAATCTTTATAACCTCTGAAAAAAAACCTATACAACTAACCAATGTAGATTAAATTCTGTTCAGGTTAGAAAAACCTGTTGAAGATGGTATTTAAAACTCAGCCACATTCATCTGGGTGACTGGGTTGGGGTCTCTCCCTTTTATTGGCAATGACTGTCTCAGTAAAATGACTTTCAATAAAAGAGTTATCCTTTAAAGTTTTACCCACAAAAATATTTACTTTTGCACAAAGGAAAATATTTTATGATACGCAGAGATGTGACGTTACTGCCAATTTAAGTTTTCTACATTTAGCTTATTGCATTTCCTATTTTTCTGGGATTTTATGGTTTTTAATGAGACAAAAGATTACTGAAAAATGCATCTTCTTTTTCCTACCAAAGAAGTAATTTTACTTATATTATTAGGGGTTCATTCTTTTAAAAATCCTCTATTGTAACTAATCTAACTGTATTTTATTCTGGTTATATGCTTCCATACTTTCCCAGACTACTAAGATTTAAAATATCAAGTGTATTAAAAGCATGCAATAAAAAGTAAATACATTACTCAAAATATCGATCTTAAAGAGACACAACTACAAAAATAGTAAAACACACCTTTGTTTTGGTTCCTGTATGATCGATTTCCTCTTCTGGGGTGTGTTCAGCATGACATTTTTGATGTCCTCCTTCTTCTTGGTCAACTTGCATTTTATCCTGGATAGAAAATATATAATTGGCAACATGAGTGTCTTCCTTATTCTATTTTTTTAATAAACAGCACCTTAGTGTTCAAAACTGCTTTGTAATATGTGAACATTGTAAAGCAGGAGGTTGTTTTTCAAATGAGAGTAACTACAAATAAATAGATTAACACGTAAAAGAAAAGGCTCTATTTGATGCTAAGTGAATAACGGTTTCATTCCGCTGTGGTCAAATAACTGCAAAAGAAATAGAAAACTGTTCTCAAGTTAAATTCACAAATCAAAATTCACAAACGTAAGCTTACAAAAAAGAGAACATTAAACTTGACTTGAAAAATGTTTATAAAGAACTTAATGTGGGAAAATGAGAAAGATAAAAAAATACATGTATTACATAAGTTCCTTATATTTTTTAAATGTAGTAAAATACTCAATACATCAAAACTGTCAAAGTAGATGTCTCCAAATTATTACAATGTAAACTTCAAAGATTTTTTAATGTCTAAAGGACAAACTTTTAACCAAGAAGACTGTAAAAATAGACTCTACTTGGTAAATAATCACAAGTAATAGATTTTCGTGGTCTTAACCTTATTTATGACCATCCTCCTAAAAAGAAGAAAGCTTGGAATTCAGGAATCAGTATAATTTAAGTCTTCTTATACACCTGGAGTTAAGCAAATGTAAAATACCCAGAAGGCTATCATGAATAAATGCTTATTTGTGCCAAAGAGAAAGAGAAGAAGATCCTTTACACCGGTGTCTTTGGAGTTAAAAGGTCAGGTATCTCTGGGGCGCCTGGGTGGTTCCGTGGAGTCAGAGGCTGATTCTTGGTTTTGGCTCAGGGTCCTGGTGATCAAGCCCCGTTTGGGAAGTCTGCTTGTGGATTCTGGCTCTATCTCTCCCTCTGCCCCTCCCACTGCACTCTAATAAATAAATAAATCTTTAAAAAAAATTTTTAAAAAGCCAATTATTTCTGGTATTTCCACCCCGCACCCCCCTAGCCAACTTCAAACTGTACAATTTCCCCCACCGATTGAAAAAAGGTGAAAAAAGTGATATAGTGGTGAGTTGGTGTAATGGAGGAAGACACAAATACACTTAACTCTATTTCATATAAAACTAAGAACAGAATGTTGCCAATTAAGTGGCCAAAATGCTTGATTAGTTAGCATTTTTACTTGATACTTACTGAAAGAGCTCTTCTAACATGTATATATTTATATCTCTAAAAGATAAATCATGTAAAGTGGTTAAGGTAGTTCTAAAACTTTACATTCAGAATCCAACTCTTCTGAATCAGTTAATTCAGCTAAGTAGTTTTCTACACAATATTGTCCTCTGTGCCATCAAAAGCATCAGTAACCCAGCATTTGTTTAAAAACTGTTCCAGTATATAGGTCTCAATATTTTCTTATAAGCCACTGATAAAGTTATGATGGTGTTTTCTTTATCATACCAAAAGGAGTCAGTAGATTGTTTTCAGACAACAACCAGGACTCGAATTCCTTCTATGAATAGTCTTTAAAACAATTTGTTGATGGAAATGTCTAGAGGATGCAATTGCCTAGTCATGCCACTGGGAATAGCAACCAAATTCACACACGTACAGGTGATGAGAACTGTAACAGGATTATTGCCATTGGCAAAAATAAGTATGATCATTTGCAAGACCTACCCTAATTTCAGATATATTAAAAAAGTGGAAAACTGTATAGATTACAATTGATTTGAGGGTAATATGTTAACCTTTTGAAATGATTTGAGAAAGTTCATACAAATATCATCCATAGTGGGGAAATTAAAAGAAGTGCTTCTAGACTCTGGCTTCTCTAACAGATTTTATTTTTTTATAAGATTTTATTTGACAGAGACACAGCGAGAGAGGGAACACAAGCCGGGGGAGTGGGAGAGGGAGAGGGAGAAGCAGGCTTCCCGCTGAGCAGGGAGCCCGATGTGGGACTCAATCCCAAGACCCTGGGATCATGACCTGAGCCGAAGGCAGACACTTTAACGACTGAGCCACCCAGGCGCCCTCTAATAGATTTTAAATTGCATGAGGGTTGAGATCATTTTTCTGTTCCCTGCTATATCCAAACACACATGAATTTATCACTATCTTATTTTCTCCTCTAAAATTGAAACAATTATTCCAAAGTCTACTCTGATTTGGTTCACATTTTTTGGGAGGAAGGAAGAAACGACTTTATAATGGTATGTAAGCCCTAGCTTTTAAACTTCTGGATACAGAATTAAAGAAAAAAATCTTAGAGAAAACCATTAAGAAATACAGCATACAGGATGTTTTCTACACAGTATACTCAACCATCATCCTTTGTTAGCAATGATTTGGAAATAAACTACAATTTATTCAACACCTATTATATCCAGCTATGGTAGGGATTTAAAAGGAGATAATATATGTGGAATGTGCTTGCCAAAAATGCCAAGGATATGATCCATAATGTTAACCTTTCTTTTTCTCTTGATTATATATGTTGTAGAAAGAATATTTAGGAACATCTTACTTATCTAAAAGAAATCCCTTATATGGGAACATCAACTACTTGCCAAAACACTCTTACAGTAGGCAAGTAAGTCTCTTGAATGGCCAAAGCAGATGTCACAACTTTTATTTATGTCATACCCTTTATTCACAGGTGAATCCTTTAAGTCCACATCCAGATCATTCTTTCAAGCCCACAGACAAAATAAAAGCAGCAAATAAGAAATGCTAGAGGTGGGAGAAAAATGGGTGCCATATCCTAGGATTCACTATACAGAGAAAACTAAAGGTCTCAGCAGAGACTTTTAAGAAAAAGAGGTGAAGAAAACTGAAATGGTTATGAAAAATTCATCCTAAAGGCATACAGAGTGCTCTCAATTTTAGTAAAAATAAATCTTAATGGATTAAATTTACATGTCTGACTTAAATTATTGTGAACTCCAACTAAGAAAACTAACTTTTCAAAAAAAAAAAAAAAAAGGAAAACTTTTCACCCATTATTCTTACTCTTTTTTTTTTTTTTTTTAAGATTTTATTTATTTATTTGAGAGAGAGAGAATGAGAGCACGAGAGGGAAGAGGGTCAAAGGGAGAAACAAGACTCCCTGCCGAGGAGGGAGCCCGATGTGGGACTCGATCCCGGGACTCCAGGATCATGACCTGAGCTGAAGGCAGTCGCTTAACCAACTGAGCCACCCAGGCGCCCCTATTCTTACTCTTTACTAACAGATTAGGACATTTCTTTTCTCCTCAATTCAAGGAGAATTGAGGAGATAGCAAAATAATACACGGGAAGAAGAATGAAAGAAAATGCCATGATCATTAAATTGGTAGAGTAGTAGAATTCTGATCAATATGGAACATTTTAGAGTAATTATTAATAAAAAGACAAAAAGATAAACTTCACAAAAGGGAGAGACAGTCCTGAAATTTAACAGAACAAAATCCATTTTGCTTTTAAAGCTTTAGTCTTCTATTTGAGAGAGAGAGAGAGAGAGAGAGCACATGAGCAGGAGGGGCAGAGAGAGAGAGAATCTCAAGCAGACTCCCCAACACAGGGCTTGATCTCACAACCCTGATATCACAACCTGAGCTGAAATCAAGAGTTGGATGCCCAGAGGCGCCTGGGAGGCTCAGATGGTTAAGCGTCTGCCTTCGGCTCAGGTCATGATCCCAGGATCCTGGGATCGAGTCCCGCATCGGGCTCTCCGCTCCTTGGGAGCCTGCTTCTCCCTCTGCCTCTCTCTCTCTCTGTCTCTCATGAATAAATAAATAAAATCTTTAAAAAAAAAAAAAAGAGTTGGATGCCCGACAAACCGTGTCACCCAGGCACCCCCAAAATCCATTCTTAATATACACAAATACACAAAAAAATCTAGGCCAGATCTCCAATTATGATTGGAACAAAAAAAATCTAATATGCCATTAAAAATAACTTATAAAAGGTATACATATAAAAAGATGAAACCTTTGTGGAATGGAATATATCATGTTCTCCTACAATTCCTGCATCTATAGTATACCAAGGGTAAATATAGTGTTAGAGTCATGTAACTCTTTCCTAAGGAAATAAACTGTCTAGAATCTGTATTAACGTTACTGAATGTACAGCACACTCTTATGTTCAAATGCCACAGATATCCCCTAAGCCCAGAAAAATTCTTTATTAAGCATGTACTTTATCTAAAAAAGGGTACATGTATAGTTCAAAATGTATCAGTCTGAATGGTTTTATCTGTAAGCTAAAAAGTTAGCCATAATACATGTTTTTAATGGAAATAAAGAAGAATTTAGGAAAGATGACTCCAAACACACACGTTTCATATAAGGCTATTAAAGATGCAAAACCTCTGAAGAGTTTAAAATGTGAAAGATGTACAGCATTTAAAATTATACTTAAAAAAAAATCATTCTTTGCTTTCATAAAAAAGTTTATATTGATTCCTACAATAAAATCTCAGATTAATATTTTCAACTATTAAGGTATCAGTTATGATTAAGAAATTAAACATTTATTAAAGGAACCTTGCAATAGGTTTTCTACATACCACATCATCTTTGCTTTCATTCTTAAGTGAAGTTTCTGTCTCCATAGGAGCATCACTGTGATCCCCTTCCACATTTTGCTTCTCAATTACCGATGCACTGGCCACACTGAAGATTCCATGGATGTTAACACGAACTTTAACCTTCACTTTGGAACTATCACCATCAGACTGAGGAAAAACATTCTGAATAGTGAAGCTCCCTTAAGGAAAAAAGAGCTTCCATCAGTATATGGGCCTCCAATTAACCTATTCATTCAATAATTTTGACTGTTATCTTTCAGATGATGGTAAATAATCATAAATTATATCCAGAATAATTACTGTGGAAAATGCACTAACCCTAGATCATCTTTTTTTATATTTTAATAAACCTAATATTAAGATTTAGAAGGGTTAAGCAGCCTGCCCAAAATCAATGCTAGGACAAAGGTAAACTGGAATTTCAACAAAGGACAATCTGACCCAAGGCAATATAGCTTTTAAGTATTTTATAATACTGCTATTCTAAAACCAAAATAACAAAATTCAATTTCTGAGTTTGGAAACAAAATGGACATTATCCTTTTGCTGTAAGTTTTGCAAACCATAACCATCTTGGTAATTCACGAATAAAGCAATTTTAAAAAATTTCACCCTATAGCAAAATTGCTAAGTTATTCAGTTACTAGTACCTACAGAGATATTAACTTCTCACTTTAAGAAACTATTTTAATTATTTTTTTTAAAGATCTATTTTAGATCTTTAGATCTAAATAAAGATATCTTTAGATAAAGATATATTTTTTTAAAGAAAAGTATTTTTAGGTAATCTCTACACCTAACGTGGGGTTTGAACTCAACCCCAAGATTAAGATTCACACACTCTTCCGACTGAGCCAGCCAGGTGCCCCTCTGCTGTTTTATTTTTAAAAACCCATAATACATAATGATATCCATAGTAGAGGGAGGATACTAGGCAGAAAAACCGGTAAGTAAAAAATTTGGTTGACCTTTGTTATAGGTTGAATTGAGACCTCACCCTCAAATTAATATGAAGTCCTACTCTCAAGTACCTCAGAAGGTGACCTTTTTTGAAGACAGGGTCTTAGCAGAGGTAATCAGGTTAAGATGAGGTTATCAGGGTGCGCTCTAATCCAATGACTGGTGTCCTTATTTGGAGACAGATACACATACAGGGAGAATGTCATGTGAACATGAAGATGGCCATCTACCAACCAAGGACAGAAGCCTGGAAGAGATCCTTTCCTCAAAGCCCTCAGAAGGAATCCTGTCAACACTGTGATTCGTACTTCTAGCTTCTAGAACTGGAGACAACAAATTCTGTTTAAGCCACTCAGTTGGTGGTACTTTGTTACAGAAGCCCTGGCAAACTAATTCCACCTTCCATTACTTATTTTTACTGCTTTGAATAACATATTTGAGATATTAATATTTCCCCTTTTTAGTCTATCAATAAAAGCAATACAAATAGAAATTTAAAGAATTATATTCTTTCTCTTAAGTGTTACAAAAATCGTACTTTGTTTTATATCTCTAAAATAGATTACTCAGCTAAAACAGTTATTACAGTCCCCAATTCTCACTTTTGTATTAATACAATGATATGCATTCTAGTTGTTGCCAGGGAACCTAAGTTTCAAGTCAGGATATACGGTCAGTCTGGCAGCACAATTTCAACTTACTGATTAAGGAGTTTTTCCATAAAAAATGACCCTCACCCAAACCTTTCAGGCAAACTACAGAGCATTTTAAATAGAGAAGTCAAAATGAATTAAAAATAATCAAACCTGTTACCCAGGATAAACTGTGAGCACTAAAAGTGCATGTTTAGAAAAATATATGAGTATCTTTCAGTGCTAGCTTAGCTCGAATATCAATTTATTTATTTCCTTGATTCAAATATTAATATATTTACAAAAGGCAAAAGTTTGTGAAATTTTTTTCCTGAGTTCTCTTACCAATTCTTGGATCAGGATAAGGCACTTCATGTAAATTAGTATAAAATGCTTCTAGTTCAAATGGTTCCTTCTTGTGGAAAGTAATGACTTTTGAAAATGGGGCAGGATGGTTCTTACAGAATACTTCACATTCCCTAAAATGGAGTGGGAAAACAGTTCAAAACAAATAGAAAGTTTTCTATGAATCTAATTACAGAATCCATGTCATTCCTAATTCAAAAGCGGCAACTGTAAAGACCTCTATCCACAAATGTAAAGAAAAAGAATTACTGGTTTTGCTATGAACATGCAATTTGATAGGTTTATGGCTCAAAGGTTTTAAAATGTCTCTCATAGTAACAGACAATTCTATCCTACTAAAAAAAAAAAAAGAAAAATTAACTGCGATTAGGTATATTTTGAGGCCAATATACAGGAATCAGTTTTTTGCTCACATATGTGGACCAAATCCTACCCATTAGTTTCCAAAATAAATACTTGTCATATGTAACCCTTTTAATTCTAGTTCCCTTAAAAAAAACTTTTATTTGAAACTAATTTCAAACTTACAGAAAGGAGCAAAAATAAAAACGGAACAAGGAACACCTGTGTATCTTTTACCTAGATTTACTACTATCAGCATTTTATTCTATTTGTTTCATCACTTAAGGGCACACTCTGTGTACATGTGTATTTTTTTCCAAACCAGTGGAGGTTGATACATACATTATAGCTCTTTCCGCCTAAGTACTTCAATGTGTACTTCCTAACAGTGATATTCTCTACTATAACCACAGTACAGCTGTCAACTATAAATTTACACTGATACTTTAACATATAATCCATATTCCAATTTTTTCATCTGATGTAATAATGTCCTAGTATTTCCTCCTCTCCAGTACAGGAAGTTTTAAAACCTACGTAACAATTCCCACTCTTAAACAGTTTAACAGAAATGGCTTATAACTATTGTTTATAGTGGCCCAGAAACTCACTCTATAATACTATACCATCACCCTATTCATTATGCAAGGTTTGCAAATCTCATATCCATGGATCTTTCCCTCTATCCTAGTTTTCAAGAACCTACATTATCTTTTACTTTCTTACTGTAATCACTAGGATAGGTTTACTTTTCAATGTAACTCCCCATGTTTCTTATAATTTTTTTCTGGATCACTGTATCTTTAACTGAAATTAACTTTAGTTATCTTTTTAAATTTATTTAGGGGCACCTGGGTGGCTCAGTCAGTTAAGCATCTGCCTTCGGCTCAGGTCATGATCCCAGAGTCCTGGGATCAAGTCCTGTGTTGGACTCCTTGCTCAGTGGGGAGTCTGCTTCTCCCTCTGCCCCTCACCCTGCTCATGCTCACTCTCTCTCTCTTTCTCTCTCAAATAAATAAAATCTTTAAAAAAAAATAAAGTTTAAATTAATTTCTTATGCCCAACATGGCACTCAAACTCACAACCCCAAGATCAAGAGTTGCATGCTCTTCCAACTGAGCCAGCCAGTTAACCCCTGAAGTTAACTTTAAAGAACACCATTTCTTGCCTCAAAATTGACATTAGGACAAGCCATTTAAATGCTCTGCAAAACATTCAGATCAGACTGATAATCCATATTTTCAGAATTCGTGCAAAAATTTTAGTTTCTTTAGGGTGTTGATGTATAGAGCACAGAACAAAATTTCAAAAGCAACGTCAAAACCTCAATACAGGTTTACCTTACTGTACAAATTATAACCTCTGAAAAGTAGTCAAATATATTATTTGAAACACGTTTTTATTTTGTAGGGAAGCGAAGCTATTTAAATCTTAAGTAGCTCATGGAAAAGGAAATGTAAATGTCAATAAAAGCATGAAAAGATTGTGGCTCATAATAGAAATGCAAATCTAATAACAAAGTACTTATTTTCACTTTCAGAATGTTATCTTTAAAAGCATAGAAGAAAATGAGCTACAACAGATAATTCAGCAATGTTAAAAGGAATATAAATTAGTATAATCCTTTTGGTGAATAATGTGGCAATACTGATTATAATAATGCTCATATCCTTTGGGTCTGAATCAGTCCTATATAGTTATCTTACAGATATAGTAAACACAACTAAACAAGATGTGTACAAGGATGTTCCTAATAGCACTGCTTGAATGAGAAAAAAATAGGATTTTAGGGTGTACTGGTTAAATTAATTATGGCACACACAATTGCTGAGAAAATAGTCACTGTCTGTTGACATGGAAAGGTAATATATAACATTTTAAAAAGCAAGTTGCACTGAGAGACATTCAGGTAATTTAAAAAGTGCAGCTTTTATTTCTGGATATTCAAAAAAATGGATAGATATAAGCATAGCTGTTAACAATGGTGAACTTTGTAAAATGGGCTAAGTAGGAGTTGGGGTATGGCAGATGCAGGTTTTTTAAGTTTTTATATTGCCATATTGCGATTTTATTTGAAAATATGATTTTATAAATACTAATTAAAAATATGCCATCATGGTTTACAGATTATATAATATAGTTCCTTTTCTCTAACATCTTATTTAAAAGTATTTGAGAGTTTTAGAAGTGTAAATTCCTCTAGTTTGGAAAGTAGGTTCAATTGGTTATTTACAACAAGCTCTAACCAAGGCTTTAAAAGTAACTTACCCAGTTCCATCTTCAAAAGAGGTCTTCCATCTTAATGTGATTGAATAGGGAACAAGGTCTGTTATAGAAAATTCACGCACTTTAAATGCTGGTGAGAGAATCGCACACTGAAAATAAGATGTATACCATATTTAAATCAACAAACACAAAACATACTGTAGGTTACCCTGACTGAACTGCTTAATAAAGTCCTTGCAATAAAATTGTTACATCCTAAAAATTGCTGTTTTTGGTAACAGCTAAAGTGTCAAGAGTATTTTTATGACCTTACAAAAATATATTTTTAAATCTGAAAAAAGAATTTTAAATGGGAATAATTACAAGAATTCATAAAGTAAATGTTCTTTCACTACAGTACAGACATACTGTCCCATGACAGTTTAAAAACAAATTGGAAAAACACAAGACTTATCTTTCAGGAATAATTTTAATTTATTTTAGCCTACTGACAAGTGGGAACAGATAATATTAAAAGGTCCCTTTTAGGCCTATCACCATATTTCTGGCAAAATATACAATGTAAAAAAAAAAAAAGGATTAATAATCATACCTGTAATGCACATCCTCTTGCAACAGCTTCATCAGCATTTAATGTGGTACTTATGTCTTTAAGAAAAAATTTAGTGATTTGTTCTTTCACTGCAGGAATTCGAGTTGCTCCCCCTACAATTTCTATACTACTTATGTCTTCACGTTGCAAGTCTGTAAAACAAAATATTTTTAATTGAGAAAAATAAGATAGTCTTTATAAAAATGTGAACAAAAGACCCTGGAAAGTACTTTTTAAAAAAAAAAATGGATTTTGTTTTTGCTCAAAACAAGACTAAATAGAAAGAAGATAAAAACAAATTTTGGAGAAAGGCAAAACTTAATAAATATTAACTATGTGTCAGGCACCGCACTTGGTTCAGATGATAGAGTGACAATAAGAACAGACAAGTACCTCATGGGCTCTTCAGAGTCCTTCAATTTTCTAACTTTCACCTCACAAATACCCATAGAAAGTACTGATTACCAAAAACCTTAACAAAAAGCAATCATGTCCCATTTCTACTTTATTTTCATCTTAGACTTTATGGTATACTTACATATAAACACCTCCAAATATAACTAGTGTTAGTTTTATGATGTAAACAATAACATGAGCCAGGAGTTGTTCTCATAAACCCAGATTAATACTGCCCTTACTCTTATGAATGAAATTATAATCTCCCTCTCTAAAATGAGAAATACAAATCTTCAAAAAACAAATGGAAGTTTTTATTGCTTTTACCATTTCCTACCCCATTCAAGTGAGTTAACGCCATGATACAATTCTGATGGTTAGTCTCGTAATTTACACTTACTAGCTTGTTCCATTACTGCTTTTAATGGTGGCTCAACCCTGGTGAAGAGGGAAGCACATAATTGTTCAAATTGGGCCCTGTGGGAAAATGAAATAAAATTCATCATTTTGGGATATAAAACTCAAGTATATCTTCTAAACAGAATGAAAAAAATCAGATACGATCTAAACATCAAATAAGCCAACACTACTTAACCTGAAAACGTACACCATACCTGTTCATTTTACTAGAAACATCAAGGTCATTCATGAAACACTCAATGTTCAGTGGAAGATCTGATGCATTTGCACTCATTAGCTTCTTCAGTTTTTCACATTCCTGATATAAACGCAACAAGGCCCGAGAATTTTCTTTCACATTTATCTTGTATTTGGTCTTGAACTCCTCACAGAAGTAGTCTACTAAAGCCTCATCAAAGTTCCTGCCACCCAAATATGGATCAAAGGTGGTAGCCAAGACCTGTTTAACCAAAAAATCAGAACTGAATTTTCAGAAATATAAATGCTTTCAAAAAGACATAAACCAAAAAAAAAACCTATATATATATATATATAAACATATATATATATATATATATATATATATATATAAAACCTTTTAAATTTAAAGTCAAAGTCAAAGAACTTATCAAAAATCACAGGGGTGTCAAAACTTGCTATCACTGATATTAATTATCACTTATATTTAGCCAACATACTTACCCATTCTGAATTATCTGTTTTGGGTTGCAGATCCATATATAATTAAAATTAATTCTATTTCTGAAATAACTGAGTTACAACAATTAAAACTTGACTATCTCATATCCATTAGTTCTACAACAGCACTGAACAGGTAGGCCAAAAACCAAGTTCGAGAGAGTAAGTCCTAAGTATGTAACCAAAAAAAACAACCAAGAAAAGCCAAATCAAAGATTAAATTTAAAATACTGCAATTGGTCAATTTACAGATCAGAAATTAGGCCTTCTACTATTAAAAAAAAAAAGCAGGCTATTTTTATAAAAATACAGAACAAAAGAATACAGGAAAAACCAAAAACAAACAAACAAAAAAAACAGTAGGAAGTGAAGAGGAGAGACAAGAATATAATAAACTTGTTGAGCAATGAACCCCAGCCAGTGGATGGATGGAAGAGGAGTAGACAAGTCATAGAACTTCAACACTAAACCTCTTGAAAATGCAGGAACAAGATATCTAGTCTCTCTCCAAGGAGGGCACAAATGACTACTGACACTGGTCACTTAAAAAATAGAACCCCACCGCTGGTGTGGCTCATCAGGTTTTTTTCACAAGGATATGTGATGGAACAATAGAGCAAGCCCTATAGAAAGTTGTAAACGTAATGTGATGGGATGTCATCCCAAGACTAGCATGGAGAATTCATGGATCGACTTCTTGCTAGGACCAGTACTACCCAAAATTAAATGCAAAATTGTGTTGGTATGTGACTAGTGCAAATGTGCATCCTTCTGGACAGAAGGGCCACAGATATGGTTACTCTAAAGTATCTACTAAAAAGGAAGGAAGGAAAATGTTAAGTTAAAATTCAAGACTAAATAGCAAAGATTAAAACAATTTACAAAAAACTACCCTATATTCACTATGAGTCATTTCCTTTGAGTTTTCTGATTACAAGGATGTTACTATAAACTGTGAGACAAAAGGCTCTAAAAGGTCCACTGGATAACCGAAAGTATTTCATCTTCTAAGTAACTTCTACACATGTGACTAATGGAGAGAGAGAGAGAGAGAACACATAAGTATGGATAAGACGATCAATATAAAAATGAATATAAAATCCAATACAAACTATAAGATGAGCACAAGAACTAAATGATGCCACATTATAGAAAATTCTGATTAGAACTCCTGGATAAGGAAAGTTTATAAAACAAAGGGAATCATTTTAGAAAATGTTTCCTAAGTATATTTATGGATAGTAATGTACTTACTGTTCCCTGATAGGTGACTTAACATCTTGACAATAATAAAAATAGCTAATACATATTACAGTATAAGGCATTCCAAACATTTTATATACATTAACTCATTTGTCCTCAAAAATGCTGAGGTAATTACTGATATTATCTTCAAGTGGGGAGCCTGAGATTTAAGAAGGTTATGTAACTTGCTCAAGGTCACAGTTTTTAAGTGGCAGAGCACTTAGGTTCTCTATATCGTCTTACATGCTCTTAACCATTAAACTTACATATAGCAAATGATTTATTTACTTACTTTAAGTTTTCCTTTGTTAAAAGCACAAACTGAGACCTGGTAAGCAGAATGTCCCATATCAATAAATATTACATTTCTTGGTTTCTCATCTAATGGGGGAAGATCCTGTTTATAAATTCCATATGCTAGTGCAACTGTGTAAGAACAAAGAAATTATGTTACTATCAAGATAGCAATCACTTGGAAAACAAAAGATAAGTCATTTTGATACTGCACTTTTAATAGAGAGTAATATAAATTGTTAGTTTCAAAGTAAATTAACTTTTTATAATTTGGTTGTTTTTAATTTTATTTTTTCTCTACCCATCTATAACATAAATGATTCTTACAGCAAATGTAAGACATGTTTAACTTCTAGCAAAATACTGTACTACAAAAACCAAAGGTTACAAGAGCTAATACATAATGAGTTTAAAAAAAGATAAATGCTTTACATTAATTGGGAAAAAAAACAAAAACTAGAACAGTATTTTTCTGACAGTGATTTTCAAGCTGCAAAGTGCTTACCTGCAGTAGTTTCATTCATCAACCTCAAACAATTTAAACCTGCAACCTGGGCTGCAGCCATCACAGATCTTCTCTCAGCATCAGTGAAAAAGCTAGGAATCTGGTATTTTAAAACAGTAATTAAATATATTGGTTTGATGTACTAGATTTTAAACATTTCATCAATTAAAAATGTAAAATAACTGCTCTAAAACTTATGTAGGGCTTAAGGCAAAGAATTGTGTTCTAATAAAATAAACAAGAAAAAAATACTAGTATTTTATTTTTTGGCAACTTCTATACCATAAAGTGTTGACCTAAGTATGAACACAAATTTAAAGCAATTACTAAGATGGAATAATACTTCAGGATTTCCAAAATATGTTCATCTAAATCCTTCTTCTGTTGGGTCTGCTCTATGGAAAAAATTTTTCTTCATCTTTAATAATGAAAAATTGAGAGAGAGAGAATGAGAGAGAGAGAGCACGAGAGGGAAGAGGGTCAGAGAGAGAAGCAGACTCCCTGTTGAGCAGGGAGCCCGATGTGGAGCTCGATCCCGGGACTCCAGGATGATGACCTGAGCCGAAGGCAGTCACTTAACCAACTGAGCCACCCAAACGCCCTTTAATAATGAAAAATTGAAAGCCCAAGACTGTTAAAATGAGATTAAATACATCTTGGTGTATCTGTATAATGGAATCCTATGTAGCTGTTAGAATCAGGCAGATCTGAATGGTCATGGAACAGTACCTATATTGCATTAGAAAAAAGGACATGTGTAGCATGATTTTGTGCAGGTATATGTTACCCAGGAGAATATAATACCCAAAGGTTTACAGTGGCTATTATCTCAAAGCGAGGCAGGAACTATATTGCAGGGGACTTATGAGGAGCATGTGCTTCTTTTAAAATCACCAAAAAAACATTAAATGTTTAATTAATGTTAATTAAAGCCTTTATCAAAAGATAAACTGAGACTTAAACTTATAGTTAAGATTTACATACACTTAGTTCTGTCAAACTAAGAAGCACTTTGATTTGTGTCTACAGACAGATTTCTGAGAAGCTAATTAAGTAGGAGCGCCTGGGTGGCTCAGTAGGTTAAGCATCTGACTTAGGCTCAGGTCAGGATCTTGGGGTCCTGGGATACAGCCCTGCTGAGGGTTCTCTGCTCAGCAGGGAGTCAGCTCCTTCCCCTCTCACCCTACTCATGCCCCTCCCCCTGCATGTGTGCCTTGTGTGCTGCATACGTGTGTGTTCTCTCAAATAAAAAAAAGCTAATTAAGTATATTCATGTACAAAATGACTTGGGGCTCTTCCAATTTAAGTTATCTCCAATTTTATTGCTTTTCGAAGCTAGAATTTTTTTTTTTAAAGATTTTATTTGAGAGAGAGAATGAGATAGATAGAGAGAGAGAGAGAGAGAGCATGAGAGGGGGGAGGGTCAGAGGGAGAAGCAGACTCCCTGCTCAGCAGGGAGCCTGATGTGGGACTCGATCCCAGGACTCCAAGATCATGACCTGAGCCGAAGGCAGTTGCTCAACCAACTGAGCCACGCAGGCGCCCTGAAGCTAGAAATTTCATTTAACAGTTTTTTTTTTTTTTTTTTAAGATTTTATCCATTTGACAGAGAGAGACACAGCGAGGGAGGGAACACCAATGGTGGGAGTAGGAGAGGGAGAAGCAGTCTCCCCGCAGAGCAGGGAGCCCGATGCGGGGCTTGATCCCAGGACCCCAGGATCATGACCTGAGCCGAAGGCAGACGCTTAACAACTGAGCCACCCAGGCGCCCCTATTATTTGCTATTATTAAATGGTCAGAATACAAAATATTAAAGCTCTATTACTTCTCTCATTTAAAAAATTCTAAATACCTATAAAAATCTAATTACTAAATTCCACTGGAGTTCATAATATGATTCTATTTTTCTGAGGACATGAGACTCTCGAACTTAGGTAGGGAAGTTTAATAGTATTAGAAATATACTCACATTCAAGTGGACAACAGGTAATTTCAAAAAGTTATCAGTATATAATGGGATCTCAAGAGATAGAGGAAATGATGGAATGTTCTAAGAATCCTTAAAGAAAGACTTTTTCTTTCTGAAAAATACTGCACGATCTCACTTATATGTGGAATCTACAAAAGTTGAATTCATAGAAGCAGAGAGTAGAGTAGTGGTTACAGGGGCAAGGAGGTGGGGGAAATGGGGAGATACGGGCCAAAGATTACAAAGTTTCAGTTATGTAAGATGAATAAATTCTAGAAATCTAATTATAGCATATGGTATCTAAAGTTAGTAATACTGTATTCGATACTGGAAATTTGCTAAGAAAGTAGATCTCAGGTGTTCTTGCCACCAAAAAAAAAAAAAAAGATACACGAGGAGATGCACATATTAATTAGCTCAACTGCAGTAATCATTATCATTTCACTATGTATATGTATATCAAAGTGTCATGATGCACACCTTATATGTAAATAATTTTTACTTTAAAGGAGGCACAATGGGGGAGCAGTGCCTGGGTGGCTCAGTTGGTTAAGTGACTGCCTTCGGCTCAGGTCATGATCCTGGAGTCCTGGGACTGAGTCCCACATCGGGCTCCCGGCTCAGCGGGGAGCCTGCTTCTCCCTCTGACCCTCTCCCCTCTCATGCTGTTTCTTACTCTCTCTCTCAAATAAATAAAATCTTAAAAAAAAAAAAAATAGGCACAATGGGATTCTGGAAGGGTGATAAATATGTTTATAATATTGATAATGATTGATGGTTGTGTGTAAGCATGTCAAAATTTCTGAAAGTATAACATGTTAAATATATCCAATTTTTCATTTTAAAATAGATTTTTTTTCTTTCTGATACAGAATATATGAATATACATAATCTCAAATTCCCAAATGGGAATTTTCAACTTTGCCATAAAATGTTAAGGTCCCTATAAGTGCGAAGTTAAGGGCGACCAGGAAAGATTCTTAGGGATAACTGGCAGGTATAGCAGTCACTAATCCTATACACTGGTTTTTTAAGATTCACGGATTATCACAACTGACTTTATGGGAAACTAACTTAATCCTAAACTACCAAATAAGGTTTTTTTTTTTTTAAAACAAAAAAATAAAAGTGGATTTAGATTTACTAATTTAGATCGGAAAGAATAAAGGGAAGAAAAATATTTCAATAGAATATTAATATACTGGAAGGTGTGATTTAAAAGTACTGAAGTAAAACTTACTGAAATCACACAGTCGGCCACTGGTTTCTTCAAAGCATTTTCTGAAGTCTCTTTAAGTTTAGCCAACAGCATTCCAGTTACTTGCTCAATTGCAAAAGGTCTCTCTTCTTCTAGGTACCGCACCTAAAACCAAAAGTTGAGATATTTATTAAGAGTCATTTATTCATCCAATATGTATTTTGTGAGGATCTACTCTATACATGATAGATAGACAACAGTGAAAAAGACAAGTTTTTGCTCAAGTTATATTCTGAAAAGATTATTCTAGTATTACAACCTCTCATCTCTAAAGTTCAAGTGCCTTACACATAGTAATATATCCAAATAGTTCTCAAAAATGTCTTCCTGCATTAGCTCTCTGCCTTTCACAATAGTAATGTTTTTTAAAGATTTTATTTATTTGACAGAGAGAGAGACAGCAAGAGAGGGAACACAAGCAGGGGAAGTGGGAGACGGAGAAGCAGGCCTCCAGCGGAGCAAGGAGCCTGATGCGGGGCTCGATCCCAGGACCCTGGGATCATGACCTGAGCCGAAGGCAGACGCTTAACGACTGAGCCACCCAGGCACCCCCACAATAATTTTTTAAAAAGATTTTTATTTGAGAGAGAGAGAGAGAGAGAGAGAGTGCACCCGTGCACATGAGTGGGGGGCAGGGGGGTGGAGAGGGGCAGAAGCAGGCTCCCCACTGAACAGGAAGGCTGATGGGGGCTCAAACCCAGGACCCTGAGATCATGACCTGAATTGAAGGCAGATGCTTAACTGACTGAGCCACCCAGGTGCCTCTCACAAAAGCAATTTTTATCATTCAGGTTCCAGGCACATAATGAAGGAGAAAAAGATCAAATAATCTTTCTTTTGAAAGTTAGAACTCTTCTGGGTTTAAAATGAAAGCTTTAGTCAAACAGTTTTAGTAAAAGGAAATGAGAACATCAGGAAAGAAAATTTCTTATTAAAAAAAAAAGAGGTATAGTATGTATTATTCCAAGGTTTCTGGGAATAATCATAAATTAAATATTAGAGATGTATATATGAAATTTCAAAATGTTTTTTAGACCAAATAACCACCTCATCTTACACACAGGTTTAAGAGTAGGTTGCATTTAGGGGTGCCTGGGTGGCTCAGTTGTTAAGCATCTGCCTTCGGCTCAGGTCATGATCCCAGACTCCTGGGATCGAGCCCCGCATCGGGCTCCCTGCTCAGCGGGAAGCCTGCCTCTCCCTTTCCCACTCCACCCGCTTGTGTTCCCTCTCTCGCTGTCTCTCTCTGTCAAATAAATAAATAAAATCTTTAAAAAAAAAAAAAAAGAGTAGGTTGCATTTAAGCACACAAAAGGAAACTTTACAATACTTCTTGACAAAGGAATACTGGAAGATGTGTGCTTTAAGTAATCAAACCCTTTTATAATAACCAATAAATTTACGAGCAATACAAAGTTACCTTGGAACCCATATAGTAACTACATTTAATTTACTGAAGAAAAAATTCTGTCTTACTTCTGTGTCCTCAGTGAACATAATTTTATTCTCTAACACTAAACCTTGGAAGAGCTTCTCTCAAGTAGCACAACATACGTGCATGTAAGTGTATATATGTATATTTATGTGGCCATGTTCATCTGGATGAAGTACATATCAGTACTTCATTCCAGTTTATGGCTAAATAGTATTCCATTGTATAGGTACCACATTGCATTTATACACTCATCAGCTAATGAACACTTGGACTGTTCCTACTTTTTTGGCTATTATGAACAATGTTACTATGAACAATCATGTACAAGTTTTTGTGTACACAGATCATTCAATTCTCTGGTGTATATAAATAAGAGTGAATCTGCTGGGTCAAAAGGTAACAATGTTTTCAGGTATTCTGTTAGTTTCTGAAAAATCAACAAACATGTTTTTGTTAAATAATCTACAACTTACTGTCTTAGGATGTAGAATTAAAAATCAAGAATCCATCTCTTACTTGGAAGTAGAGTTCATCTCTTACTTGGAAGTAGAGTTTGCTTTAATATAGCAATTAAAATACTTATGGGGTCTTCTGCCTTTATTGCTTGAAAACTGTTCACCTCTAAAAGGTCTTCAAATAATTTTTCTTTGGGTGCCTGGGTGGCTCAGTTGGTTAAGCGACTGCCTTTGGCTCAGGTCATGATCCTGGAGTCCCGGGATCAAGTCCCACATCAGTCTCCCTGCTCAGCAGGGAGTCTGCTTCTCCCTCTGACCCTCTTCCCTCTCGTGCTCTCTATCTCTCATTCTCTC